CCCCCGCCCCCACTTCAGCCACAAGGCTAACAGGTGAAGGCACGGCTTCAGCGTAAAGGAAATCCCGAGGGGGAAGCTGAGCCACATCGGTGTCCCCTGTGAAGCCATTTTCTGATCCGTTTGGCCCACCAGTGGCCAGGCCAGTCCGCCACCGTACTTCTGCCTTAAAAGAACGGACCTGCCATGCAGAGGTTCAAAGCTTTAAGGGGAGGGAGGGAAGGAAGGAAGAGCTCCCTGACATTCCCACCCCGCTTTTCCCAGGCACTGTCTGAGAAGGAATGATCACCACCTGCCCCCCACCCCCCAGGAACTCTGCCTGAGAAAGGTGGAGGGCCAGCCTCAGCAAGACTGCCCATCCATCTGGCATTCCTCAGCTGATTTTTCCTGAGCATCACAAAACCTCCCTCCACTGATTCCTTCCATTCTGGATATTCCACCAGAGGCAGAGAGGTCTACACCGTAAACAACCCCAGGTGGCACACGCCCGGGGGGGGGTCCCACGCTGGGGGCTTCATGCCACGCCCCGTAACCACAGGGAGGCGAGGGCAGAGCCGCGCAACCCCCACACTTACTTGCAGCACTGCTTTTTGATGTTCCGCCCACCAAACTTTGGCTTGTCCAGACAGTTTGTGCAGACGCCGCAGTCCTCGGGGACCTGGCAGCCCGGGCATTGCCCACAGCGCCTCGATCGCCGGCCCTTCTTCACTGGGGGCTCCTGGGGGGCCTTGTTCCTGGTCACCGGCTTCACGGGCTTGGTGGGAGGTGCCAGGGGCTCGGCATCCTCGGACCCGGCAACGGAGGACTTGTCTGTCAAACCCAAGGCCAGCCGTCAATTTGCCAGTCGGCCAAGGAGACCACCGGGACGTGGCCAACAGAACAGTCTTGCTGTGGGGCCAACCTGGCCTGTGTCCGACCAGTGCAACGGTTTCCCCCGGCAGGCTCTGATGGTACGAAGGCGCTCAAAGGCACCCGGGGGCCTGGGGGGGGGGGAAGGAAAGAGAGGAGGAGGAGGAGGACCCCCAGGCCCTGCACGCCTTCCAGCTCTTACCATCATTCCCCATGGAAGACAGAATCTTCTCCCGCTCTTCCCAGGGCAGGGCGCTCAGGGTGGGCAGGTCGTCTGGGAAGACGGCTCTCTTGCGGCCCAGGGCGACGGCGGCCCTTCTGCAGACGTGCTTTATGCGCGGCCCTCGCACTGACGTCTCTGAGGAATCGCTCTCCTGACACTATAGGGCCAAGGGGGCAAGAGGACAGATGCAGCGAAGAAGACAGACTAGGGGGGCCCGCGGAGCCCAGCCGCCACTCTGGAGGGAGAGGCTCAAACCCCTTTCGGAGCCTCCTCCAGCCCCCCCCCCTTCGGTCAAACCACTTTCATAGGACACCAGCGCAGAAACTATCATTTCCCCTCTCCTGAACTGTGGCTAGGTTGTGGTGCTTTTTTGTTTTGGTGCTTGAGTGTGTTTAAATAACACAACTTCTGCTTGGATGATCCAGCTACCTACAGAACCGCAGAAAACTGTTGGCCAAGCACCTTGCGAGTAACGAAGCATCCACCCAAAGCTGTGACCCTTGCAGTTTCTACTAACCCCTGGGTATAACACACACACATCCCGGGGGGGGGCATCTTGAGGGGGAGGGACAAGCAAGAGACCAGAACGTGAGGCTAAACAAAAGCAGCCGTGCCAGAAGGAACGCCCCCCCTCCGGCATTTCCAGAGGATGGGAGGGATGGCTCTGTCCCTTTGAGATGGAGGGTCCCACAGGATAGAACAGGCCACCAGAAGCTTCACCCCAGGGCTGGGGAGCTCCCGAGAGGCGATCGTTCTCAGACTGCTCTGCGCCGGCAGCCCCCAACTCACTTTCTGGCTCCCTTTGGGCCACCTCCCAGGCTGTGGACGCCAACAAGCCTCCCTTTCCCTTCTTTCCCGCCGGCTAGAACCTTGCCCGAGTGGGGTGGGGGCGCTGCTTCCGGCCGTCCTCGCCCCCTTCCCTCCAGGGCCAGGTCTTTTCCGAGGCCCCTTCGGGGAGACATACCTGTCCTTTGGGCTGGTCCACCTGCTTGAGGGACTTGCTCTTCTCAATTTTGTAGAGCTGGGCCTTGGCTTTCTTCAGGAGACTTGCCACCCGCTTGTCCGCCATTGGAAGTTTGTCTGCATGAGCCAGCACTGAGCTGATGGAGGAATGCTTCACGATGCCAACAGAGGCGGCCGGGAAACGCAAGGCATCTTCCTTTTCCACAGCCGGAGCAGCCAGCCCGAGTTCCAGGCCAGACTTCTCGAGGGCCCCTCGGCCCTTCTTAGGCAGCTTGTTCTTAAGGATGGCTGGTGCTGAAGCTCCCAGAACCGCCGCCGGCGTGTCTGCCGTGGGAAGGGCCGCCAGGGACTTTTTCCGACCTGTTGGTTTTTTAGCCGAAGAGGAGGACACGGCGACCTCCTCGTGGGCAACGGACTTTCCTTTAGCGACCCGAGCCAAGGGGAACAACGCTGGGCCCCCCTGGACCTCCGGCGCCGCCTTCTTCCGCTTCTCCTTCCTGGACTCATGCTTGTTTTCTTTCTCCCGCTCTCGGTCCCTCTCCCGGCCTTTCTCTCGCTCCGGACCTTTCTCGCCCTCCTTCTCCTTGGAGGGCTCCTCCGCCGCTCTGTCTCTGTTCTTGCCTCTCTCGGCCTGGGGGCTTGGGGTGAACCAGGGGAAGAGGGGAGCGGGGTCCCCGGAGGTGAAAGGCTCGGCCGGCGCGCTTGCTGGCTTCCTCAGCCTCTGGCTCTTCTCCGAGGCTTCCCCCGGCGGGGACAAGGAACGGGTCGGGAAGGGGAAGGTGGCGTTTAAGGCACTGGCGGCACGAGAACCCGCAGAGACACTCGTGGGCGAGGAAGAGACCGGAGACAGCGGCGTCAGCGTGGACAAATCAGAGGCGGCGCTGAGCCTCCCGCTCCTCGTCCGCATCGAGTGCGAAGGAGACCGGGGTTCGGACCGAATGGGGCTGAAGACTCTCCTTCGCCGCTTCCGCGAGGAGGCGGCCACCACCGTGCTGCCGGACGCGCTGCGGCCCACGGAGGAAGGCAGTGTGACCGATTCGAAGATGCGGGAGTGGGCCTCGCTGGGGGTGAACCTGGCGGCTCGAAGGAGGGGGCTCCTCTTGTGCAAGTCAAACCTTGTCCCGGAGGGGAGCGGGGAGAAGAGGCGGGCGGGCACAGCGGAGGATCCGGGGGCAGAGAAGCGGGAGGCAAAGCCGACATCCTCCGGGGTCAGAGGCGGAGGGCGGAAGTTGTCAAAGACGGGCTTGCGGATCAGGCCCTCTTTGGCGTATTTGGCGGAGGAGAAGTACTGGGGCTCGGACCGCGAGTGCTTGAGGGAGGTCCAGCGGAAGGTGGGCTCCCGCAGGATGGACTTGCGCTTCTCCAGGGCGGGGGCGGCCGAGGAGGGCAGGAAGGG